GCTTTTGCTGTATTTTGGATCAAATAAATGCAGGCTTGGTGAGCAGAAGAGACTTCTTTAAAAAACATAAAAAATATTACTGTTCAAAAACTTTTGACTGGTAGTATGTATATCACATCTAGTTATTTTGGATAAGAATAAAACGTCAGGTCCGACAATATCGTGTCTTTTTTCATTTAAATCTAGATTTATTCTCATTGGCCCATGGAAACCTCTATGAACACACTTGATTTGACTGGCCAAAAAAGCGCGGGGGGCGAATTTACATTTTATTAAAAAGTGTTTATGTATCAGAGATGTTCACAAGTCTTTAACTTGGAGTCCGAGTCAAGTCTGAAGTCTTTAACCTGGAGTCCGAGTCAAGTCTTTATCGCTGGAGTCTGAGTCAAGTCTCGAGTCTTTGGTCACGAGTCCGAGTCGAGTCTCAAGTCATTTAATGGCTTGCTAAAAAAATCTCATTTAGAATCCTCATGTATTGAAATCTTCCTATTTACGAAGCTTTTTTATAGGCTATAGACAAAATTTATATTCTATGATCTGCTTTGTAAAAAAAAAAGTGGTGTTAAGATGTAAAGTTATTGTACATCCAGCCTGTTATTTATAGGCTATGTTTTAATCCATCAACATGTTCAAAACAGTTTTTCTGTAATGAAATTCTATAATAAGAGTCTGATCTACCATGACACACAAAGAAATATGTGACAGATATTACAAAACCCTACAAATAAAGTATTTCTTTATTATATAAGTCCAAGGAGTGAATATATTCTATATTTTCTATATCCTCTATATTTTCTTCCAAGCAGAGGTCCGAAAAAAAAAAAAAATTTTTTTACATGTATTGCATTTTTACATTTAGATACATGTGAGGGCATGTGACAGAAAAAATACACTTTCTGTTCAGGGTTTTCCTCCTGAAATGTATACTATTTTAATATTTTAGCCTACTTAAAAGCATTATCTAAAAACAATGTAGCTACAATAATAAAACAGTTATCATCTTGAGCAGAAAAGAAAGATAACTAGCAATTTCAAAGTTTAAGTTCTATCCTAGTCATCTAACAACAATTTTCCCAATTATACTTACATGATTCTTTTGAAATGTTCTTAGCCTACAGATTAATAATGCTAAATGCAGATCAGAAACATCTTGTCACATCTGGTTTGAAGATAGGTTATAGATAGATAAATAGATAGTATGAAAAATAACTATATTTGCAGCATTGTTGTTTTCTGTTGTGTTTTGTTGTTTCTGATGTTGTTAAAACAACCACATCATCCGCAGCTCAAAACTTGGCAGCAGCGTGCGTCCGGAGAGAGAGAGAAAGCTCACGGAGCTGAAAGGGCTCAAATAAAGGTCATTTGGCATTTGATAAAAATACTAGAGGATACAGCGCTGAAAGATATTTACCATAAACGACCCTGAGCGCTTGTTATGTGATCCGCTCCGCTGTTTTGAAACGCTGTTCACTTAAAATGGTGCTGCTGTTACGGCTCGCGGTTCGGATGGATGCCAGGGTGCGGATGCGGTCCGCCTTTTGAATATCAGTTATATAAGTATTTAAGGATAAAAGACTTGAGTTGCTCTTAAAATTTTCACGAGTCCTTTTCCTCGAGTCGAGTCAAGTCTGGAGTCATTTCAGGTCGGGTCTGAGTCAAATTTGAAGTCTATAAAAATGCGACTCGAGTCCGAGTCACTAACTCGAGTGCCCATCTCTGCCTTCAACAAGTTGATGATGCTAGGAAAACAGCCATCATTGATTGTGAACTTAAGATGCTCAATATTGACATCGCTGCATTGCAAGAGACCAGACTCCCATCAGTTGGTAGCATCAAAGAACAGGACTACACATTCTTCTGGAAGGGAAAAGAACCAGATGAACAGAGATTGCACGGCATTGGTTTTGCAATCAAAAACTCTTTATTGAAATCAGTTGAGTTCCCTTCCAAAGGTACACCTAGAATTCTCTTCACCTCCAAACCTTTACAGGTCCAGTAAACATCTTGAGCATTTACGCTCCCACAGCTTGCTCTGAACCCAATGTTAAGGATCAGTTTTACGAGAAGCTTGAAATCGCTATCAGAGAGGTTCCTGTAAATGAACACCTGTACATGCTCTGATATTTTAATGCCCGCGTTGGAGCCGATTATGAATCCTGGCCCCGTAATATCGGCCATTTTGGTGTTGGCAACCTAAATGAAAATGGGCAGAGGCTGTTAGAGCTATGCTCATATTACGATCTATGAATAACCAACACATTTTTCTCTACTAAGCCCCAGCATAGTGTATCTTGGAGACATCCCAGATCTCAACATTGGCACCAACTTGACCTCATTATCACTTCGAAGGTCCTCATTGAATAGTGTCCTCATCACTCGCAGTTATCAGAGTGCTGACTGTGACACTGATCACTCCTTGGTTGGCAGCAAAGTCTGACTTCAGCCAAAGCAAATCTACAGCTCAAAGCAGAGAGGACACCCGCGTATCAATACAGCTATGACATCAGTTCCTGCTCATTGTGAGGAATTTGTCAATGCTATTGAAGAAGCCCTTAAAGACTGTCCAGCTAGCAATGTCGAAGAAAGGTGGAAGCATATTCGTGAAGTCATCTATGTGTCCGCCTTGGATATCTTTGGAAAGAGTGAAAGAAAGAGCCAAGACTGGTTCCAGGCGGGGTTTACTGTTCTCGAGCCGGCTATCAGAGCAAAACGAACAGCGTTGCTTAACTATAAGAAAGAGGCTTCAGCGAAAGCTCTTGCAGCATTTAGGAAGGTTAGAAATAACACCAAACGGATTGCTTGTAAATGTGCCAATGATTTCTGGCTGAACATCTGCGAGAGCATTCAACTCTCTGCTGACTGTGGCGACACCCATGTATGAGGGAATGACGAAGGCTTTTGGTCCAAGTATCACCCCTAAAGATGGCAAGATGGCGCCGATGATGATGGCGGTCTCCGTGACGTGCTCTGCAGTTGTTTTTTGTGTTTTTGTTAGTTTGTCCTGTCTTTAGTTATATCCCTGCAATCAGTTTCACCAGAGACTAATTGCTGGACATTCGGCACTACACATCACCCGATATATTACCGGTTTTCGACTATTCTGATGTTTTGCTGGACATAGTAGTTGGCGGAGCAGCGGCGCTGATCAAATGCTTCAGTACGCGCAGACGGGGGAAGTGAGCCGGCGCCCTCGTGAAGCTCAGGCAGCGTGGATTTCGAACGCCGTTGCCTAGCATCCATCTGGCGAACCTCCGCTCTCTACCCAACAAAACGGACGAACTCCTTCTGCTCTCCCGGACAAATAAGGATTTCTCACACTCTGCTGCTCTGTGATTCACGGAAACCTGGCTGAATGACGCCATACCGGACTGCGTGTTGAGTCTGCCGGGCTTTCAGCTGTTTAGAGCGGATCGCCATGCAGAATCAACAGGGAAATCACGCGGCGGCGGGACATGCTTTTACATCAACGAAAGGTGGTGTACAGATGTAAC